CTGAGATCTGCCACCGATGGGTACCACAGATGATGGAATAAATAGTTCCATTCCCTGTAGCACCACATCAGTGACAGAGTCAGCAACAGCACTGGGATCATCCGGCGAGAAGCAAACCCGCCCCCATGGGTAGGATGCAAAGAAAGACCGCATTCCGTCCCAATCCGCCGACCTGTAATGCCAAACACGGCGGCAACCTGCAGAACGCAACCGCGAAGGGAGCGTGAGTGGCACCATACTCCGGATCAGACAATGGTCCGAAGAGCCGAGAGGGGCATCGACGGAAACCTGATATCCGTCCGGATGAGAGGTCAGCAGAAGGTCCAACAGGGAAGGTGTATGATCCTCCACATCTGGAATCCGCGTAGGCGAAGTAACCAGTTGTGTCAGACCATAGGCCAAGGCAAAGTCATAAACAGATCTCCCCGCATGATCGGTTAAACGTGAACCGAGCCATTCGGCATGGTGGGCGTTAAAATCGCCAAGGATCACGATCTCTGCGGATGGGACCTGTTGTAGCAAGGAATCTGTAGCCATTTGGACGTGGTCGATGAGTCGGTCTGTTTCGGCATTACCGCTATGGGACCTATAGAGGCACCCGTAGACGCGCGGATGGTCGTCGCTGTCTACGCGTAGCCAAAGGATGGACAGGTCCGAACCTTCAAGACTGCCGAGGCGTCGAGAACAGATGTCCTCTCTAACATACTCGCAAACTCCAGCCCGAGGCACAAAGGAGTGCTCCAATTTGTACCCCGGGTAGGAGAGATACGAAATATCAGTCGGAGAGGAAACCTGCGTCTCGGTCAAAAAGAGCAAGGCCGGCTTCGCCGTCTCGAGATGGTAGTGGACGGCGTTTAGGTTAGAGTGAAGTCCCCTGATGTTGCAGAAATTCACGGATAGCGTGGCAGGGGTCGCCTTGGTATTGTTGCTCAGCTTGCCCCGAGCAGTTTTGTTTTTGAGCGGAATTTTGCCCCCCCCCCCAGAATACGCGGGGCAGCCTGAGCACCCACGCTCAGGATTGGAATAACATGGTCGTGGATGCTCAGCGAGGGATTCTCCAGGGGTACTGGTACCCTCCTGGGGTAGTCTATTGTCTAATTCCGCTACCGTGTTGATGGGGGGGGGGGGGGGGGAATTGGGCCTCCGGCCACCTGCACTCACCAGACGAAACGCAGAAGCAGAGCCTCTACTTCACGCCGGTATTCTGTGAGGTCGTGGTACCAACCCGGCTCGAGCCGGCCCATATGTGCAACAGCAAAAAACTGCTGCAGGGCTCTACCACCGTTGCAAAAAACTGCTGCAGGGCTCTACCACCGTTATTAATACATAAACACTCACGCCTGTCACCCAGAGGGGTAGGCAGGGACTACGGACTTCCATTTGGCGCGATCCTGACACACCTCTCTCGCCTCTTTTACATCCATATATCTACGCATACACGCTCGTCGGTTAAGGGTACTCCTAATCTGGCCCATTTTTAATGTATCGCCGATTTGGTCGATAAACCTTCGTCTAGGGCGTCCCTTCCCGACCCTGCCGTTCACTTCCGCAACATAAATTTGCTTTGTCACTCTTTCCTCGTTCATTCTTTCTACATGACCAAACCACCGAAGCATTCCTTTTTTAATCCTTGTCACAACGTCATCTTGCAAACCACACTTTTCTCTTATCACACTATTTCTCACCCTGTCATTCAGATTCAGCCCTAGCATACTCCTTAAGGAACGCATTTCTACAGCATTTATTCTACTCTCATGCTTCTTCTGCCAGACCCAACTTTCACTACCATACATTAAAGTAGGGACTAACACAGCATTATGAATTGCCATACGTGCCTTAGTTGACACATTCTGACTCCTCATAATAGCGTGTAGAGCCCCATTCACTCTATTTCCTGCGTTCACTCGTCGTTCTATATCCTTATCATATCTACCATCCCTGCTAAATAAACATCCCAAATATACAAACTCATCCACTTGCTCAATCAACTTCCCTTCTATTCTTATTTCACATAAAGTTTTACTTTCTTCTGTTTCAAAAACCATCACTTTCGTCTTACTTGCGTTCACTTTCATACCCCTTTCTTTCAATGACCAATTCATTAAAGTAACCATCATTTGCAATTCGGCCGCCGACGATGCAAATATGACTTGATCATCGGCGTACAAAAGGCATTTGACGGTTGACTCACCCATTCTCAACCCACATTCTTCAACTTTCAAAGTTTGCAAACAACTGTCCATAAATAAGTTAAACAGCCACGGGGAAGCCACACATCCCTGTCTGACACCTTTATGAATGCCAAACCAGTCAGAGTAGACCCCGTTGATCCTGACACAAGCACTAGAGTCCCTATAAAGAGATCTTAATGCCTGTATCAAGCCAGCGCTCAACCCAAATGTGTTCAGTGTTTGCCATAACACATTCCTGTCCACTCTGTCATAAGCCTTTTCCAAGTCCACGAACGCACAAAAAACTTTCTGGTTTTTAGCCAAAAACTTCTCCGCTATCATGCGCATGGAAAAGACTTGATCCGTACACCCCATCCCCTTTCTAAATCCAGCTTGCACATCCCAAATTTTTCCATCAGTTTCTTCCATAACTCTTTCAATTAACACCTTAGCATACAGTTTACCCACAATGCTAAGCAAGCTGATACCACGGTAGTTTTTACAGTCCTGCTGCGACCCCTTTCCCTTATATATTGGGACTATAACGGCTTTGCACCAGTCTTCCGGTACCCGTTTCAGTTCCCAACATAAATTAAACAAGGTGTGCAGCAGGCCTGCAACCACACCCTCACCAGCCCTTAGCATTTCGAGTGATACTCTATCATATCCGGCTGCCTTACCTGCTTTCATGCTTTTCATTGCTTTCATTATTTCATCTACACTTATCTCCCTACCTCTCTCCACTTCTTCCGGAATTTCTATTTCACTTATTCCAGACGACTTTTCACTCTTAAACACGCTTTCAAAGTATTCCTTCCATCTCTTTAAATTCGAAACTTCATCATTCAGCATGCAGCCATTCTCGTCTCGTATAGCATTTATTCTAGGCTGTTTTGAATTTCCCCTGGCAGTTCTTACGAGCTTCCAGAACATTTTAATATTTGCCTGGAAGTTATCAGATATCCTTCTATCATTCTTATCTATCCTTTCTTGCTTTTTCCTTTCAACAACTTCTTTTACTCTCTTATTTATACGTCTAAAGTCTGCCTTTTTTCTTTCAATCTCATCATTCATACCGCCAGAATTACCAGCTTTAGTTGCTAGTAAATCTAGCCATGCTCTCTTCTTTGCTTCAACTTCCATCCGTACCTCATCATCCCACCACAACGTATTACTTTTCCTTTCATTCGTTCTCTTACTTACACCGCATACTTCGGTGGCTGCATCCACCAAAACTTTCTTAATATTATTCCATACATTCTTCAATTCTAAATCATTCATACATAATTCGTTCAACCCACTTATATTTTCCCTCAGTCTGCATTTATACTTCTCTTTCACACCTTCATCTTGTAACCTCTCTATTCTTATACGCTGTAACGCAGTGGTAGACACCGATGTCCGATGCCGCCAACGTCTGAATAGACCATTAATTCGGCATAAGACCAAGTAATGATCCGTCCCTACGTTGGACCCCCGGTAAACCCTTGTATCTACCACTGTGCTCCTCATTCTTTCATCATTCTTATTATTATAATTATAAAAAAATGCATATTGAAAAAAATACATACATACTGCCAATAGTCTCATTTACATATAAATAGATATTTTTATTTGCCAAATATTATTAGGGTTTCCATTTGCTACAAAAAATGTGTTGATTTTATTTTATTTTGATAATGTGCAGTTATTTTTACCTTTTTAAGGTATGTGTTTTAGGATAAATAACATAGCCTATGATTGTTTTTTTTTTATTCTAATTTACATATATTTAACATTTTTAGTTCGACTCTTTTATGAATGTAAAAAAGATAACATTTCGAGGATAGCATCATCAAAGCGGCAGTTGTTTAGAAAACAGTTGCAATTTCAGGGTCATTAAGAGATATTTTTTTTAAGTACTTGGGTATATTTTATTTAATAAACATTTTTAATTTCATGTTTTATTTGAATAGTTTATCTCCTCCCGAATCTTATTTTGTTTTAATGCAAAACATATCCAATAAAGTAATAATAATAATCACTTGAAATTGACCGCACTCTTAAGTCTCGTGATTCCTTCTAATATTATATCCATTCTGTGAAAGTCGTATGTTGTAACCTTTACGTTGAAACTGATTTAAATTAAATATATCATGTAGGTTCTTAGAATGGCAAGAATCAAGATCAGTGTATGCTTTAATATGCTGGTGAAGCCGCGGGCCACAGCCACAGTCAGTTAGGAATAAATTATGAAAAAATATCTGACAACTTTTCACTTGTTAAGTGTAAGTGGGGCTGAATTGGAAAAACTGGAAGAAATAGACGTAGGAATTTGCCTCCTCCGTTTCTTCTACTTTTATTTATTTTTATTTCTTCACATTGAGTATTATATAAAAATTAATATTTACAAATAATATAAGATTTCATGGAAGATAAATAACAGATATTTATATAAATATACCACTTCTAACTAATTAATATAATTACATAATATATTTGTGAATATAACACAAGATATTACGTAGGTATATAAATAATTTAAATATTACATAAGTTAATAAAAATAAAAAATGTTACATTTTTCTCTTTGCAAATAGTTAATAAATAATTATAAACGCAACTTAAATATTAATTCTATGACGATATCTACTATTACCCATTTTCCCCACTTTTTGGGGAAAATGTAATTAACTTGCAAACATTACTCATTTGCTTGGGTGCGTGTGGGTAAACGTAATTACAGGCCGCTTATGCACACATTCATTGTGTTGTTGCTTCAACTTTTAACGAAATTTTGAATGTCACTATCACTCTATGTATAATTACTCTAAGTTAGTTTGAATATAGTTTCAGTACTGAGGGCGAGAGCGTAATAGTAAGTGGGGTTTATGCAGAATGTGGAGAGGCAGCGGCGCGTGAGGCCGCTTATCGCCTGTACTTAGCTCCAGATCCTCATCAGGAACGTCTGTTGTCCACTTCACTGCAGGCTCGTCACGAATTGGCAACGATTTGCGGCTTTCAGAGCTATGCTGATAGGTAAATAAGCATATTTATTTATATTTAATATTAATAAGTAATCAATGGTTATGTCTGCGTTTACCGACACATGGGTTAGCCTGCTAACCCTATTTTTTTCACTCACTTGTGCCATTTGTACAATAAATATTAATGTATGAAAGAACAATGGCAAACTTTCATACATAAAATTAGTTGAGAAGGAATGGTAGCGTCTATATATCAAAAATATCTTAAAATGTTAAGCGTCAGTCCCTTAATAACTCTTTCAAAGGATTTTGTCCTGAGAAGGCGTCAAAAAAAAAGATATTTAGATTTGAACCTTTTCAGGTTATGTCTTATGTCACTTGGAAAAAGTCATGCGTCCTGTAGTTGTTTGATGTTATCTTAATACATTCTCAACATTATGTACCTACCTACATAATTGAGAGTTTTTAGATAATTGTATCTCTATTATATATTTGCATACTATAAATGTATATTTCTGGCATGGCTCCAGGGCCTTAGTGTCATACAGTGACATTTTCAGAAGGGCTAGAACCCAGAGCCGTAAAGCCAGTAAAAAAACAGTGACATTTTCTTTTAGCAGGTGTTGCCATAACATTAAATGGAATTGTTACATATTGCTACGATTGAGATAATGTATTATTGTAGGAAGTTCTTTGTAAGAGACTTATTTTCAACCATTTCACTTTTATTTTTATTATTACTGATAGTATAGTTATTACTAATAATAACTTAATATAAAAATATGTTGTGTTGGTAGTCTTACAAAGTGTATACGAAAATAGTATGAATATAGTAAATGGCAACACTTAAATAGAGTAAAATGATTTAAGGTGGAAGCTCCAGGGTGGCCAGCGAAATTCAAATTTTCTTACGTTTTTTGGAATTTGCAGGTCAGGGTCAGGTTGTAGGTTTAATAAAATATGATTCGCGACCGTAACGAGTACGTATTTACAGAATTATAATCATTATAATCATCGATACAGTAGTAACAATAACTGTAGTTGACAACCCGCCTGCCAAGCTTACTAATATGGTAATAATGATGGTAAATAGATCTACGTGTCATCTAGTAGTTGGATTTATAAATCCGTTACCATTACTGTTAGCCGTGTAGTGGCGGTCAAGAATATCCACTACCCCATATGGGCAGCAGCATCTTCCTGATAATAGCCAAATTACAATAAAAAAACTGCGGTTGCCAACCCGCTCGCCAAGCGTGGCAACTATGGCAAATACCCCCCTATAAATGACGGTAACAAAGAAACGGCCCCCAGTCCCCGGCGGCCCCGCTATTCCTGGCTACGGTGGCGACCATGGTAACGGCGGGGCAGGGGGTGCTAAGAATCTCCGGTGGAGGTTCGGTTGCCACCTTAGACGACTCGACCTGGCAACGTACAACGCACGCACCCTGAGGACTGGCGAGAAGATCGTGGAGCTGGAAGAAGAGATAGACAAGTTGCGCTGGCATATTATAGGATTATCCGAAGTCCGAAGAGAGGGGGAGGACACGGTAATCCTCGAATCCGGCAACTTGCTCTATCACCGGGAGGGCGACCATCTGTTCCAAGGAGGTGTCGGATTTATCGTCCACAAGTCTCTCGTTAACAACGTTGTAAAGATCGGGAGTATGTCGACGAGGGTTGCGTACCTTATACTCAGAATCACCAAACGGTATTCGCTGAAGGTTATACAGGTTTACGCACCAACCTCGGCACACCCCAATGAGGAGGTGGAGAAAATGTATGAGCATATCTCTAGAGCCATGCATTCCTCCAAAACCCAATATACGGTGTTAATGGGAGACTTCAATGCAAAACTAGGCACAAGAGAGAGCGGTGAGCTGAAAGTAGGGAAATTTGGAATAGGGCAACGGAACCCAAGGGGCCAGCAGCTGGCCGACTTCATGGAGAAAGAGGGACTCTTTATGATGAACTCTTTCTTCCAGAAGCGGCCCCACAGGAAGTGGACCTGGTCGAGCCCCGACGGTTCCACAAAAAATGAGATTGACTTCATTATGACGACCAGACGACAACTGTTCAGTGATGTCTCCGTGATCGCGAGGGTGAAAACTGGTAGCGATCACCGAATGGTTAGAGGCACACTGAACCTAAACGTTAAGTTGGAGAGGTCTCGTCTAATGAAGTCAACGCTCCGTCCGCCTCGTGCTCTGTTACGAAGTCCCGAAACCTTTCAGTTCGAGTTACAAAACCGTTTTCAGTGCCTGGAAGACTGCAATGAAGTGGACGATATGAATGACAAGCTCGTGGACACTGTCCATGCGGTTGGAGCTAAGTTCTGCAAGACCCGCCGCAGAAGAACACAAAAACTCTCCGATCACACTCTTAATCTCATGGCTGTTAGACGGGAGATGAAGCTACATTCTTCAACAGACTTGACAGCATACAGGCATCTGAACAGACAGATCTCCAAATGCATGCGGCGGGACTTACGCAACTTCAATACAGCTCGTATTGAAGAAGCGATCGAGCGGAACCAAGGCTCCAAAGTCTTTGCCAGAGATCTGTCTGCCAGAAAGAGCCAACTGTCAAAGCTGAAGACAGAATGTGGCAGCATCGTTTCCGGGACACCTGAGATTTTGAGTGAGATTGAGAGGTTCTATGGGCAGCTGTACACATCATCGTTGGAGCCACACGCAAGTGTGAGTAACGATCCAAGAGCGAGTCTCATCCGACACTATTCCGAAGATATCCCGGATGTCAGTCTGAGCGAGATTAGGATGGCTCTCCAGCACCTTAAAAACGGTAAGGCCCCAGGCGAGGATGGAATTACAGCGGAGCTTCTGAAAGCGGGTGGAAGACCGGTACTTGAAGTCCTTCAGAAGCTCTTTAATTCCGTCCTCCATGGTGGCATTACACCGGAGGCGTGGAGCAGAAGTGCGGTGGTCTTGTTCTTCAAGAAAGGTGACAACGCTCTCTTGAAGAACTACAGACCGATTTCCTTTCTGAGCCGCGTCTACGTGCTGTTTCGAGAGTCATTACGAATCGTCTCGCACGCAGACTTGACGACTTCCAGCCTCCCGAACAAGCCGGTTTCCGAAAGGGCTTTAGCACCATAGACCACATACATACCCTTCGGCAAGTTGTACAGAAGTCCGAAGAGTACAATTTGCCACTATGTCTGGCGTATGTGGACTATGAGAAAGCCTTTGATTCCGTCGAAATTTGGGCGGTGCTGCAGTCCCTTCAGCGGTGCTAAGTTGACTGTCGGTATATCGAAGTGTTGAAGTGCTTGTACAGTAGGGCTACGATGGCTATCCGAGTACAGAACCAGTGTACGAAACCTATCCAATTGCAGAGAGGTGTAAGACAGGGTGACGTCATATCCCCGAAACTCTTCACCGCTGCATTGGAAGACGTTTTCAAGCTTCTGGACTGGAAAGGATACGGTATCAACATCAATGGCGAGTACATCACTCACCTTCGATTTGCCGACGATATAGTCCTTATGGCAGAATCGCTGGAGGACCTAAGCACTATGCTCAATGACCTCAATAGTGTTTCCCAACGGATAGGTCTTAAGATGAACATGGACAAAACAAAGATCATGTTTAATGTCCATGTCACACCTATGCCGGTAGTTGTTGGGAGCACTAAGCTCGAAGTTGTTGACGAGTATGTTTACCTGGGACAAATAGTCCGACTAGGTAAGTCCAACTTCGACCGAGAGGTCAATCGACGGATTCAACTCGGCTGGGCAGCGTTCGGGAAGCTACGACACATCTTCTCGTCAGACATACCTCAAAACCTTAAAACGAAATTGTACAACCAGTGCGTGTTGCCAGTGATGACTTACGGAACTGAGACGTGGTCCTTCACTGCTGGCCGTATGAGGAAGCTCAAGGTCGCTCAGCGATCTATGGAGAGGGCTTTGCTCGGAGTTTCTCTGCGTGATAAACTTAGGAATGAGTATATCCGCAGTAGAACCAGAGTGACCGACATAGCCCAACGGATTAGTAAGCTGAAGTGGCAGTGGGCCGGCCATATAGCTCGAAGAACCGACAACCGATGGGGAAGAAAGGTTCTCGAGTGGCAGCCTCGTACCGGTAGGCGAAGTGTAGGGCGTCCTCCCACGAGATGGAGTGACGACCTGGTAAAACATGCAGGAAGTCGATGGATGCAGGTGGCTCAGGACCGTGCTTTGTGGCATTCTTTGGGGGAGGCCTATGTTTAGCAGTGGACTTGTGAAGGGCTGTAATGACGATGATGATACCATTACTGTTGGTCAAATGTTCACTGTCAGACATAGGCCTTTTTTTTATAGGATAAGGGTGACAAACGAGCACACAGTCCACCTGATGGTAAGTGGTTGCTGTGGCCCATAGACATCTACATTTATCCTCGATTACGAATCAAAATGCAGATGCGTTGTCACCCATGAGAAATAAGATGGAATGCCTCGATTCCAGTAAAAAGGATCTCCGGTTCTCTACACTCACCATACGAAAACAGCAGCATTAAGCTGCTATTTTACGCCGGTATAATATATATATATATATATATATATATATATATATATATATATATATAAGATAGCCTCATAGGGGGGATGTTTAATATAACGAGCATAATTCATAAATAATATATATTTTTTCTTATTGGCAGAGCAATAAAGGCCAGCACGATGGAAAACGCAGCAAATGTACGAAAATTCCTTGATATTCTTTCTGATAATCTATATGACAGAGCTAAAATGGATTTTGACGCCATGCTCAAAATGAAGAAAAAAGAAACTCCTTACCAGGATGCCCTAATGTGCTGGGACACTCCTTATTTTACGCACAAGGCTAAGACGCAGCTGCTCAATGTAGCTAATTCAGACTTCAGTCCTTATTTCTCATTGGGTGGATGTATGGAAGGCTTAAATATGCTTTGCCAAGAGTTGTATGGAATTAGTCTGAAATCGGAAGAAATGTTGCCAGGTAATTATAACTGTATTATTAGTTTTAGTTATAAGTTTTTATTAAAAGTAGTTGATAAATATATTAATGATAAAAAAATAATATGAGTACTTCCATATTATAAATTTGCCTGGAGGTCTACTCTAATTCAACGAAAAACGAAATTCCGATCGAAATTTCGCTCAATTCCTACCATGGTTCCATTCGATTCGAAACTTCGTTGAAACGAAATTAGTTTGACGTTTAAATTCTCTAAGCCTACTCTATTGCACTAAAGTTACGAACGAAAATTGAAGTTTGACAGATACTTGTTCGTAATTTTAACCTCAAATTGACGAAACCAAAAGTGTTAACTTTTTATTTTCGTTTTGGTCGATTTTGTTAAAAATTTAACTAAAATGGCTACGAGACAGCTTTTAATCGCGGCTGCTTTACGTGAAGAACGATTGGAGCGTAGAAGGAACCGGCGCCGCCTGCGTAATCAATTAAATATTTCAAATATTCCCGATCTAGAGTTTGTCGGAAATTACAGACTCAGTCGGGAATTATTCGAGGAGTTGTGCCAGGACATAGTGCCTTTATTGCCTCCAAAGGGAAGACGACATGGAATCGAGCCCACACTTAAAGTAAGTTTAAATTGTTTAAACACTCCCTTCTCTTTAATTTTTCATTTTACTGTTCATAAGCCTCAATCTGTGTTAATGTATTTCAGATACTTACTGCTTTGAACTTTTATGCCCGAGGAAGTTACCAGGGGTCAGTGGGACAAAATATGGATGGGCCCATGGCACAACAGACAGTGTCCCGTTGTTTACAAGAGGTAACAACTGCACTTAATGCACCCCACATACTAAGGAAGCACATAAGATTCCCACAAAATAGGAATGAAAGGAATCTTATTAAGCAGAAGTAAGTACTTACCTTCCTATCTAGTATTGACCGTTAAACTTATTAACATGTGAAATACCTAGTAATTAAAATATTATTCTGTTATTTTAAATGAACAATTTACATAAAAAGTGTGCCAAGACTAGGCAAATAAGTCATGCAAAAACAAATATAATTTTATTGTACAATTTACTATTCTATAATAATATTGTATCCTTATTGTAGATTTTATGATAAATATGGGCTACCCGCTGTGGTGGGGTGCATCGATTGTTCACATGTAGCCATAGTGAGGCCTTCGGAGCATGAGGAACGATATTTTAATCGAAAACATTTTCATTCGATTAATACTCAAGTTGTAAGTTTATGTACACTATTTTAATGTTTTTATTATGACATTCACTATTTTATTACTTACATTTTATCCTATGTTACATTGATGGAAATTCTTTTTCAGATATGTGACAGTGATTTATTAATTACAAATGTTGATGCTTCATATGGTGGAGCAACTCACGACGCTTATATTTGGAGGGAATGTGAGATAAGAAACCACTTGGAGGGTCTCCAGGATGAAACAGTTTATCTATTAGGCATGTCTTGATTTATAGTTTTGATATTCATTATGTGTAAGTAATGTGATGATGCAATTTACACTAATATTATATTTTTAAATTTTTAGGTGATTCTGGTTATGCTCTAAGGGAGCATATGATGACACCTGTAGATAATGCTGTTGAGAACTCTCCAGAGGGAAGGTACAATTACCTCCAAAAATGTGTACGCTGCACCATAGAACGCACATTTGGTGTATTGAAGGGTCGATGGAGATGTCTTTTGGCAGCTAGGGAACTCCATTACTGCCCAGAAACAGCAGGTAAAATTATATTACCGTGCTGTGTTTTACACAACATGTGTATAAGGGCTGGTATTGAAGGTCCCGAGTTGACTGAAGAGGAACACCAATCGGAGAGAACCAGGCAGGTTCCCTTTGAAACAGCCGCATCTTCTACTCAAGCTCTACAGGCAGGTCGAAGGGCAAGGAATTCATTAATACAAATGTTAGAAAGGAACCGGTAAGATAAACTCAAACCAAACAATTGTGCAAGTAGATTAAAATAAACTCAATTAAAAACTTTTTTTTGTTTTAGGAGATAATCATCATCATCATCATATCAGCCACATTTAAGCCGTTTATTTGTGATTAAGTAACAATCAAAATCCATACTTTCTCATTTATAATATTATAGGATTAGGAATTAATATTACTGAAATATAAAATATAAATAAAACATACACTTCTTATCTTGTTATAATTGTAAGCAATGCGTTTTTTTTAATGTTAACTTTTATGTCTAATGAATTTAGTTAATATTGCATATTGTACAACATTATCTATTTAGGTATGAATTTTCGAGTAGGTACCTAGTAGACAGTGATTTCTCAACTAGTTGAAAGTTATTTGCTCTTACCTTTCCGATGTGTAGATAATTAATTTCAATACCTGCCCATTGTATGTAAACTTTTGTTAATTTTTGTGATGTAAAATTACATTACCTTAAAGGTCATTTTACAAATTTGATGACTCTGTATGAAATATACAAGGAGAAAAAAATCAGCCCTTAACGAGTTTCTTGCCGGTTCTTCTCGTTACAAGGTCTCCCGCTTAGGGTTTGAGAACCGATGGCGTAGCTTCTTTGACATTCACAAGTGCTTGTAACAGCCTAGATTAAAATATTTTTAGGCATAAAATTAGTCCTGTTTTATTTTTTCACCTACTTATTGTTATCCTACCTACCTAGATGTTCATAAAATGGCAACAAATATTTACTTAATCCTTACCTATGACATTGCAGATATTTTGTCACATACAGAGAAAATAATAACTTCTATGATTTTAAATACTTAACAGTATCTTTATATTATATCGAATTATGGTCATGATAATCAACTCTCAGTAATAATAAAGTTCTTATTTTAGCTTTCTTAATCTGAAAGTACAAATAGTCTCAAAAGTAGTAAAAAGAAACAATAGTATTCAAAAATAAATTTATTTAAAACCTAACGCCTATTTTGCCTTAAAAACTCTAAATAATCTCGCCCTATGTCACGCAACTCTTCCAAGGCAGCCCTGATGCCTGCGAGCTCGGTGTTCCTCACTGTCTCTCTCTCTGCACGTCCATCTTCATACTGGTACAACCTGCTTCTGACATCGGAGCCAGCAGCAGATCGTATTCTTCTGGGACGTGCAGATTGTGAGGCTGCAAAACAACATTCCAATATGTTACATTGCAGTAAATACTTAATCAATAAGTATATTTTTTGTGACAAACAATATTTTTCTTGTAATTTTAATCTCGACTGTAGTTTAGTGGTAAGACCTTCATGTATCAAATACATCCATACATACCTTCTTGTGTATCAATTTCGATCGAAATTTCGTTTTTCGTTGAATTAGAGTAGACCTGCTGGCTTTCTTTGCTTGGGTCGGCGTACTTCTGAACTTCTACATGCAAGTCCAGGCTCTGCTGCTGCAGTTGGCTTCCTTGACTGTAGGTTGATGGTCTGGATTCATTCGTCTGAAATGAATATAAAAGATTGAATGCTTAATGTTTAAGTGAAGTATTAATTTTTAATGTCTACCACAATACAAATTGTATTGTATTTTTACCTGATGGGTTAAAAAAAGTAGCATACTCACATAGAAAAATAATTTTGTAAATAAAAATCATATATCATTAAGATAAATATTTGAACATATCAAAGTTTAGAAATAGGGAAACCAAAGAATGATGAGGTACTTACTTCAGTGAAAGCTGGCACTCTGGCTCCAATTTGGCGGTCACCGAACCCATCTCCCATTATGGATAAGACTTTTAATTCCGAATGGGAGAGTTGGGGTGCCACTGATGGACCACCTCCAGTCATTGAAGCCGACCTCCGGGAATCAGCAGCGGCTTTTTTGGCCAGATGTTTTCTATCAAACCATACCTATCCAAAATAAAAGTAAATATTAAATCTTTGTCACTCACTTTTCACTGATAAATAGCTTAAGCATTTAATTATATTACTACGAATTACCTTTTGCCACTGCTGAACTGTCTTTATGCAACCGCCCATGGAATTGAGCGTATTGCACAATTCATCCCACAGCCTCTTCGCCTGGACTTTTCCTTCTAGACTCCTCAATCTCCCGCGAGCAAGATCCCTATGCTCGTCCAGGAAATTGAGGAGTGCATCAATTTGTTCAGGAGTAGCCGAACCCGTATGTGGAGCCATTATTTTACACTGAAAGATGAGATGAAAATAAATTATAGGTACCTATTATTACAAAAAAATATGTTATGGAAGTATTATAAGTGCAAAACAATTAACATTACTTACACTCTTTCTGAATATAAAACCAAATTAAACCAAATAGAAGTCTTTGTGGACCAAAGGACGCCCATATGAAGACTGCGACTTGAAATTGAAACTTTGTCAGGGAATGTGTATCGCGTTTGCAAAGTAGGCAAAGAAAAAAACAAAACATATTAATAACTCTTCACTTGAGCACACAGGAAAGAATCTCTACCTACGTCTTACACTTGAGCTTGAGAAACAAACTTAAAACTATTCAAACTTTCAAAGAATGCAAACAAAAAATCCACAAGTGATGACTGACAGCATTGTGATAATACGGATAAGTTTGGTTGTTATACGATACTATAAACACCGTTTGTTATTATTGTACACCTTAACTTAGTCGGTTAACGGTCATTGAAAGGGTTATTTTAGTGTCACTGTGATTTTCTTCGAAAACTTGTATATTTATTGCTTGTGTAAGATTTTTTGGAATAATATGCATAAAAAACCACGATTATATTTTAATAAATTCGTAAAATACATAACATTGTTCGTTCCATTCGTTCACGAAAATTGTCTTTGAACTCGAACTTTGCGTGCGCGTCCGAAAATGATATAGAGTAGGGTCAGACACGAAACTTCGTTTAAATTTCGTTCGTTAACGAAGTTTCGTTTCGGAGAAAGAGAGTAGGCCCTCTGGTCTTAAAGGCTTACATTTAACAATCATACTAAAAACAAATATGTTAACTTTCAAGGGGAGTCCTGGTCACCCGATGTTTATAAGTTGGCGGTTGTGCATGAAACCGAAGGTCTATTGGGTCATATATACTGTGACTTGTATGAGAGGCCTGGGAAACCACATCAGGACTGCCATTTTACTATTCAGGGTGGCAAACTACTTCCAGATGGCACTTATCAGGTTAGTGTTTGAAAATTTTGTATTTTTGTACTAAATTAGTGCTTGCAGCATCTACCAATTTATAGAATTATGGTATGTGTAAAAATATTTTTAATTATTAAAAATATTAAAAACATGATCCGCGAATCTTAGCTACAAAGATTTTTTAACATCTTCAATACAATGGGTTTCCGCAATTTATGTAGTCAACTTCAGAAAAGGGAGAGTTTCTCAACTAGATTGTATTTTTTGTAATTTCAAATAAATAAAACAATAAAAAAATGACATATGTAACAGCTTCAGAAGTCGGGGTTTTTCTTCGATACACTGTGTTAGTACCGACTTAAAAATTAATTTTATCCTTTTTAGTTTTTGAAGTGTCATATAGTGCGGTGGTGTAGGAAATTTATTACCCCATATCACTCCGTGAGTATCGTAAGAGTCGACAAAGGATAACTGAAATAAAAGTTGGGCGACAGCATCTTCCTGAAAGCAATTGAAAATAATATAAAAACTATTGATGCCGACCCGCCTAGCCTACCGTGGCAACAATGGCTTATATTACTTCTATGTACTGTGTTCATCAGTGGACTTTTGATAGGCTGTAATGAGTGAATGAAAGAGTGATATAGTATATACAAGAATTAAAGCCCCCAATTCAGAATGTGAAATTATTGAATTCTTTTTAGCTCTTTGAAGATGGTTTTCACTTTTTATCAAAAGTTTAATTATTCGACCCTTTTGAGTAGACTGTGGAATACCACAAACTTAAAGCATCAATTTTTTTATGTATGCGATATCACTGATGTTAAAAAATTTCGTGTACCACGTAAGATTCTATGTAACGAAATATTTGACATTAAAACACTTCGTGTACCACGTAACAATCTACGTAACGCAATATCACGGACATTAAAATACTTTATGTAATACGAAACAATGTACGTAACGCTTTATCACTGTCATTAAAACACTTCGTCTACCACGTAACCATGTACGAAACTCAATATACCACTGACATTAAAACAAGTTTTATTTGTGGCCTCGCTGTAATTATATTACGGTTGTAGTACGAATGGGTCGGCTCGACCGGGGAGGGACCACGCTCTCACAGAATACCAGCGTAAAATAGCAGCTTAACGTTGCTGTGTTTCGTATGGTGAGTGTAGAGACCCGGAGAACCTTTTTACCGGAAACGAGTATTTCATTTTGCATTTTGATTCTTAATCGAGGATAAACGTAGATGTCTATGGGACACAGCATCTACTTACCATCAAGTGGTCTGTGTGCTCGTTTGTCACCCGTATATTAAAAAAAAAACACTGTGTACCACGTGAAAATATAGTGTTCGTGGGTATAGAACCCGATAGTGGTGATAATGCTGTCGCTGAGCGGCGGGCACCGGTCGGGGCCGGCGCTGCTGTCGGCGGGCGCGGTGGACAACCTGTTCCACGAGGCCGGGCACGCGCTGCACTCCATGCTGGGCCGCGCGCGCCACCAGCACGTGGCCGGCACGCGCTGCGCCACCGACCTGGCCGAGGTGCCCAGCGTGCTGCTCGAGTGCTTCGCCTCGTGCCCGCAGGTCAGTTGCGCCACGTCGCAATACCTCTCGCCACTTTGCGACATCTCCTTCCACGTTGCAAATGTTGTAAGCCATTTGTTTTTCGTAGACTCCAAAAAGGGTAGACTTTTATTTAAAGTTAATTTTTATTAGCATTAGCAGTGCTATCGACTACAAATACTCACAATTAACCTTTACATATTTATGCTAGGAGTGGTTTACGACAGTAATCAAAATGATGGTGGATCTAACCCACGACTTTTGACTTTTGCGGTCCGTATCCTTCACAATTACAGTCAAGTCTGGCAACTTTACTAATGGAAGTTAACTTTGCCAATAGGGGTGTACTGGTACGAAATCACGTTACGTTTTTATAATAATTAATTATAATAACGTAACGTTAGACCATTTTTTAGATGAAAATACAATAACTAAATAACAGCATTGCTTTTGATATGGCAACATGAGAGTTAGTTAATCTTGGCATTTTATTTTAACGCAGAATTGTGCTTTTGTTTTAAATACTGTTGCGCGCCACCATTAATAATTGATACATGGCGACACTAGTTACCACTAACGCCATCTAGTACCGAGTAGCGGAACTAGGAGAGTCAAGTTCCTTCTAGAATTTTCCATAAAAGAATTTCTGGAACTATCGACACCTAGTTAATCGGGATCGGTATGTACTCGAACATTCTAGATATAAGGCCGGTATAGACCGTGTCGCGACCGGGGTCAGTGTTGAATTGGCGATACAAGCGAATACTTCGAAGCGATACAACTGCGAACTAAAGTGATCAGTAGTACAATTGTTAGTTTGGTTTTAAGTTGTAACTAGTGTTGTGTAATTAAAGTGTCAATTTTGGTAATTCACTCGGCAGTTTTTAATAGTCTCAAACTCCAAGCTCGTAACAATACTTAATGTAGGTATGTATATCTTTGTAGTAACGTAATGTTAATGGTTATCAAATGTAATATATCGTTTTTAACATGTTGGTCTTAATATTTTACTATAAAACTAACTAAGTTACCATACTAGTGATGACACGATGTGACGGTTACTTTGCCATGTTTTGCTACAACCAAAGGTTGTCACTTTCAACCTATATTTTTAACCCATTACAACTATTTAAACAAAGTGTTATGTACTTGAGATTCAATGTATGTATGTTTGTATCGATGTTTCACCATAACAGCCCATTTGGCCGATTTTACCAAATGAGTCTTCAATCAATTCATCTTTATCAAAAGTGAAGGAAAAGGAAAGAGAAATCTATATTATTTTTACTGCGTTGTCAAGCATTAATAATAATAACTACTCAGTATTTTTCATAATTTCAACTTAGTGTATTGATATTAATTTGCTCCCAAAAAAACAGTGTCATTTTAAATGATTATTAATGTATTGCTATTGTGGGAAAACAATATTTAGATTGATTACAATAATTATGACCTAATATAATTTATTACGACCCGTAATAAAACGATTATGATGAGTAATAAAAAAATGAAATATTGTTAAGAATTATTATGACAATTTTTTATTATATATTCTATAATTTATTTAAGCTTATTATTGCATCAATTTGATTTTTAATTTTAAATGAGAGTATTTTTAAATTATTGTGACAAGATTTACATAAAAAAATGAAGTTAAATACGTAATCAAACATTTTTGACAACCGTGACACATATTTTCAAGTTTGTATGAAATATTGGAAAATGGGAGGGTCACTTTGCCTCAAGCGTTAACTTTTCTATTTGCAACACAATTAAAAGAGCAAATCATAGCTTGAGTCTTGAGTGTTGTGTATTATATTATGAGATAAACTTACCTAAATTGAAGTCAAATCTCATTATTTTCATTATAAACCCTGATGGCAAAGTTGCTACAAAGTGAGATTAACTTTGTAACATTTTCTATTTCAGAGTATCTAGTCCAATTAATGTTAGTATTTGTTTAAATTACTAATAAATACCAAATCTATGAAGAATATAAAGTCACATTTAACATTGACGCCCAGTCTGACGGTACATTTTTGTTCCAAACTAAATAAACTAAAATTGGTTCTAAACTTTTAAATCCTTCCAAAAATGGCAAAGTTGACAGGTTTCACGGTAACCTATTATTGTTAACTGTAATACTACACTAGTGATGTACGGTACGTCTCTGTGATATTATTAAACTAAAACTCGATTCAATGATTTAAACAGCTCTTCGTTGGATGCGGTGAAATAGAAGAACTTAGTTTTGGTACAGTGTGTTTTTGTTCTATGCCACAGGTAGTACGGCGGTTCGCACGACATTTCCAAACGCGAGAGCCCATGCCCGAAGACATGCTGCAAAGGTTGTGCGCTTCTAAACACTTATTTGGAGCTAGTGAAATGCAGTTACAAGTAAGTTACCTATATAAATAAAATTATAGAGGTTTGCAGTTGTGCGCGCATCACGGACAGACACCTGGATAGATTTCAATTATGTTTTCTAAATTTTATTTCTTAGACACTTGGCCCTTATCTAATAAAAAAAAATATTGCGATATGTTCATTGAATATAAAGTTATCAAATATTTAAGAAACAAAAATTTTTTTACGAGGTTTTCCACCCGGCAACTGTACGTCGCTTGCTCTCGCGTTACTAACTAAGATATATACCTAGTCAGGTCATAAATTCTGTCACATGTTTAATATAAAATAATTGATACAAGTTTATTCATTATGTAACCATTTATATACCAAAATGAACTTAACAAAACATAGATTCTTATGACACTAAAGTTTATTCAAAATGACCTCCGTGATTTTGAATACAGGCCTTCAATCTGCGCGGCCAGTCGTCTATCGCAGCACGAACGAGGTCCATGTCAATATCGGCGGCTGCCTTAATCAAGGATGTCTTGAGTGACTCCAAATTGGGATGAGGCTTTGAGCACGCCTTTTCCTCCAAGTGTTGCCATATCTTGTAATCTAACGGATTCAAATCTGGACTGGAGGAGGGCCAGTCTTCGTGCCGGATGAAGTCGAATTCACGCGCCGCCAGCCAGTCTTGTGTGCTCTTCGTTCTATGAGCTGGCGCCGAATCTTGTTGGAATACCAAGTGCCTGTTATTGAACATGGTATGAGAAACAGGTTCCACAAGGTTCGTCAGGACTGTATTTTGATACACAACTGCATTCGTTTTTACACCTTTCTCACAAAAATGTACCTCTGTTAAGCCCCAATAAGAAACTCCCAACCATACCATGAGCGAGGATGGAAAATGACCTCGTTGGACACGCGGAATACGGTTGCTCGCTTCTTCACTACTGTGTGCGTACACCTTATCATTTTGTTTGTTGTAGCTCTCTTCTACGGTAAAAATTTTTTCATCCGAAAAAAGAATTTCCCGATATTTTTTTCACGCGTACCGCTTCAACAAAGCGCGGCATCTCTTCAGTCTCAGGTCCATTAGACGAGCATTCAAACGATGTCCTGTTTTTCTTCGATATGCTCGAAGCCCTAAGTCTTCATTTAACACCCTTTTCACCGTGGTTCTTCTTAACCCCATCTGAAGGGCCAACAGTTTCTGCTTACGTTTGGGATTTCTTTGATTTCGCGCCTTCACAGCTTTTATCACTGCTGGAGTCCTAACAGACCGAGGGCGACCACTTCTTGACCTGTCATCTACACTAGAGTCTTCATTGTATTGTTTGATGGTACGATAAACGAATCTTTTGGTTATATTCAAACTTTTCAGTATGTCAAAAATTTGAATTGGCGCGTAACCGCAACGATGCAACGCAATAACTGCAACACGGTCTTCTTTAAGCGTCCACTCCATATTTAAAAATGAGTAAAATTCTAAAAAGTATACAGTTTTATTTTCATGAACAATTCGAAATTCGAATTCAATAAACTTTTTTGTGGCCAGCATTCTAAAAGAAAAGTTTTTACTGTGTGACAATACTTATCACCTGACTAGGTATATTTTAGTTACAAGCGGAGCAACGAATAACATTGTTTACAAAGAGATTTTGTAAGTAAAGTATTGTTGCGCGCCACTATTAATGTCCTGTACATGGCAACACTAGTTACACTAGCGCCCTCTAGTGTCGAGTAAAAGAAATTATTAATGTCTTGTACACGGCAAAACTAGTTACACTAGTGCCCTCTAGTGTCGAGTAGCAGAACTAGGAGAGTCGAGATCCTTCCAGAAATTTCGGGACCGATATGTACTCGAACATTCTAGATGTCGCTACAGTAGAAGGTTCTGGAAACTATTTGAGGCCCTATATAAGGCCGGTATAGACTACGACCGGGGCAGTATTGAATTGGCGATACAAGGGAATACTTAGAAGCGAAATAACGGCGAACTGTGTTTTATTATTAGTGTGATTTTAAGTTGTAATTAGTGTTGTGTAATTAAATAGTCAATTTTGGTAATTCACTCGGCAGTTTTTAATTATCTCGAACCCCAAGCTCGTAACAGTATAATTTTGCTAGCGATCTTTTTGTGATGTTTTTCCTTTGCACATACGAAAACTTTGCTAATGTATCCAGCAACGCGGACGAAGTCGCGGGTATAAGCTAGTGAAAATATAAAGGCTAATATATATGCATACATTTGAGTAATTATATTACATATTATATAAATATATTTGAGTAATTATATTACATAGAGAACCACTATAATTACAGACTGTAAGGCATTAGGGCGCGTTCCGACGACACGTACCCGCTACGCGCACGCCACGCGCGTCAGCACCCGCGTCTAACTCGCTTTTAAATTTATTGCATATAATTTGAGTCTTATGACAAATCAATAAATCTGAAATTGTATAAAAAGCGCGTGTGCGAGGGGTAAGCGCGGGATCAGCGCGGAGCGGGAACGAGGCGGGCGCGTGGCGCGGCCGAGGCGTGTGCGGTTGAACGTCGATAAATGCAATTTCAGATTTATTGATTTGTCATAAGACTCAAATTATATGCAACAAATTCCAAAGCGAGTTAGACGCGGGTACTGACGCGCGTAGCGTCGCGTAGCGGGTGCGTGTCGTCGAAACGCGCACTTGTAGTAATTTATTCCATCTTAGTCCGCAGAAGTGACAACGCATCTGTAGACTTCTTCTTGAAATTATATAGATGCAGGTGTACATGGACTGTAATAGTCACTTACCATGAGAGGGACTGTAAGATCGTTTGTTACTTTGTTTAAAAAATATATCATCAATTTGCGTCTCTCCTATTGTTGAGAATGTGCCATAATCACAACTTTTGCACCTTTGCTGCTTCTCTGTACTATCTGCGGTAATATAACCAATAATCTTGACGTTTACTACTGTAGACAGGCAAGTGAAATAATAGGGGTTAATTTTTGTCTTTCAACCGATAGGGAAGAGAGGTTTTAGAGTGGCAAGCTCATAGATATGGACATGCGTTTTATTGATGAGCGAAGTACAGACGGGCCCCCACTTGAGGGACGCGACGAAGTGGTAAGACATGCAGGAAGTCAATGGATGCAGGTGGCTCAGAGTCGTGCTTCAGCTGTGGAATTGTGATGGGCTTTAATGATGATGACGATGATATACATTTCGGTAAATAACTCGTTTATCGTTCCGTGGCATTGCGATCCCCTGATGAAAATATTTGATTTCCGCATATATCAAATATAATTGAAAGGTTTTTTTTATAAAATTAGGGTGTCAAACGAGCACACAGTCCATCTGATGGTAAGTGGTTGCCATGGCCCATAGACATCTACATCTATCTTCGTTTGCTAATTAAAATGCAGATGTGTTGTCCTCCGTGAGGACTAAGATGCCTATAAGAATGCCTCTTTTCCAGTAAAATAGCAACATTAAGCTGTTATTTTACGCTGGTATTCTGTGAGAGCGTGGTCCTTCCCTGGTCGACCTGACCCATTCGTGCTACAACTATGCTGTTAATATAGCTGCAGCTCTACCACGTAAATGCAAGTTAAATGCAAAGTGGAATAAAAACAACATACATTATTTGTTGTTTATATATGGATATTTTTCTGATTTAAGAAATTCAACTGAATGAACATTATTGCTCTGCACTGCCTGTGCCTAGCAGTAGGTCGTATATAGGCTGATTGTTCGCGACATTCACAAGTATCAATTTGTAGCACATTCCTATTAATTTAGTACAACCCTATTTCAACTTTTTTAGAACTGTCAAATTTTAATTCCCTCTCTCTATCAGCAAACCGTGTGCAGTACAGACGCAAATTTTGTCCATTTTTCTAATTATACCAATAAACCAATGAATTTGTGAAATATAATTGGTTTCAATTAATATACATCCCCAACAATGATGTACCTATTATTTTATTAATAAAATTTTGTTTTTAATATTAACTTATAAAAATATGTAGTTTGCATACAATTACGTTGATGCTGAAGTGGCAGTAATTAACAAAGGCACACACTTATTTTGTTACAGGTATTTTATTCGGCACTCGATCAACAGTACCACGGACCTGATGCCGTTTATGGCGGCTCCACTACAGACATATTGAAGCAAGTGCAGAAACAGTATTACGGACTGCCGTACGTCGAGAACACGGTATTGTAGATTGCTACTCCTTAGGCAAAGAAAATAAAAATAACCATGTCATGTTTCTAATTGTAATAATGGTTCATGGTTCAAGTGTTAAGGCGAGGTTTTCCGCACCACTCTGCTGAATGCATAATGATACAGTATGAAGTATGTATGCGATATTTGATGGACAAAAAGTTACTTTATTTGAAACGTTTTTGCTTATTACCAAGAAATAAAGGATCTTAATAAAAATTTAGCCGCAGGAGAATCTCTTTCAATAACATGTCTTTTATCGAAAAATATTCTAACTCAAACGTCAATGTTTTTTCTCAGCAATCGAATATTAATATTTTTATCTCCATTAATATAAAGTATTTTAAAAATCCATTTGATTTTATCGAGCTTATACTATTTCAAGAAGTATCAATTCTCGTGTGTCAAAGTAGTATCAAAAATATTTTGTTCAACCTGACCTTCACAAGTCATGAAGCTCTTTCAGAGTTGAGTTAATATCGGTATAAACTATAAACACTCGCTTGTCTAGTGAAAATTAGTGATCGCGATGACCAACGTTTCAGATGGCGCAATAATCTAAAACACCCTGACCACGCAAGATTAAAGGTGCGAAACGCCTCTGGTATTTTGACCGACAATCCGTCTGATTATGGCAAATACTCTTAACTTTTAGAAAAATGTATAATTATGTATAAGGTTATATTTAATGTCTTATATTGTACTTCTTTTTTTTTTTGCTGCTTTTTGCTTTATTTTAAATTTTGTGTTATAATTATATAGAAGGTTTAGGCTTTTTTCGTTTTATCGAAGGACTAAACTACACGTAACAGCTGTGCTACGTTCGTGACGCCAATGAATAGGTTTCTTGGCTGAAAATCAGCGCTGTGTGAGGCCATACTCACACAACACATGCTGAGCCAACCCCTTTTCGGCACAATGCGACCTTTTTTATATATATCAATATGTGCTTTTACTTTCATGTGTATGAACTGCCTGTGCTGAATAAATGTTTTTTCTATTCTATTCTATTCTATTCTAAAAACCTATAAGTCCAGACTGTCGCAAGCTAACGTCCTGACTGTTTAAATTTAATAATTTCTTATATTCATACGAACACTACAGTGTAGTCGCAGTGTTAAAATATTTTTTACCTCATAACATCTCGTGGGTTGTAGTTAGAGGCGGCAGAGGGACACAAATTAGGAGGTGGGTAGCATTATCTTCCTAATAATAACTAATAATAAAAAACTGATTTTGCTAACCCACCTGCTAAGCATGGCAACTATGGCAGTTATCCCCCTATGAGACAATCCATGGGGGAGGCCAGTGTTCAGCAGTGGACTTTTGATAGGTTGCAACGGTAACGCGAACGCAAGTAGTTCTATTCTATTCAATGATTAAATCTAATTAATATCGTAACTTTGCAGGCGTGGCAGCACCGGTTTAGCCACCTAGTGGGTTACGGAGCGAAATACTACTCATACCTGATCTCTCGGGCGCTGGCCTGGAGTGTATGGAGTCAGCGTTTCTCTCTTTCTCCACTCTGTCGATCAGCTGGAGAGGACTTCCGACGAGGAGTACTGCAGCATGGCGGCGCAAAACCACCACAGGTGACGTTTTTTTTATAAATTATAGCTGGGGCTTGTTTACTTTTGTAAACAGCAGTACATTCGTTGATAGTAAAATATATATGTTAGTAAGTCTCCCTTTTTATGTAGAATAAGGGTGACAAACGAGCACATAGTCCACCTGATGGTAAGTGGATGCTGTGGTCCATAGACATCTACATTATCCTCGATTAAGCACCCATGGTCATCGGGGGACAGATGTTCGACGTCGAGGAAATTTAAATTTAAAATGAGGTAATATACGCAATAAAATCCGTAAAAACTAGTTTCATTTAAATGTGTAGTGATCGCGTAAACATAGGAAATCATTATTTAAATATGTGTTGAATTTTGTCAATATTTATGTTTGACTGTCACAGGAACTGCTTCGCGACTACCTGGGCATGGAGATCACACCAAACGCTCTGGCTATGGCGTTAACAGAAGAGCTAGACTATCATAAAGAAAATCTAGATAGAGTATTTAAAATTTCTGAGAAATGAAATAGTAAATGAAAATAAGACTAAGAATTTAAAATTGTGGAAATTAATAGAAATCATAGTGCAAAAGAGAAAGATTGTAAGTGAACTTTTACGTTATTATTCATTTGAATGTATTTTGAAATGTAAATGTGAGACAATGAATACTGTGGGCTTAAGCAACAAGCCAATCACTTTAATTTAACAAAATCATAAAATTTTCAGGCACGGCTATAGAAACTAGTCTTTTATTGTGACAGTGTGATAAAAATATGTAAATTCATTCTGGTCATTATTTAGTAAATGTATTAAAAAAATACCTAGCTAATGTTTCGTGGTCGAGCCAGGGATAAAAACCGCTTTCCAACTTCGTTACAGTTCTTCATTTAAGTTTTAAAAAAGGTTCCGCCATTCGGTTTCTGGTTAAGGTATCGGTTTTAGTAAGAAGCAAAACTCGTTTGTTGGTCGTTGAAGGCAATGTTTATTATTTATTACTTAGACCATTTTAAATATCCGGTTTACATTTAGTATTTTTCTATAAAACCAGTCAGGTATGTTCTACTCGTTATTCAATTCTATAGTAAACCTTTCAAAGTAAACTTTTCTTCAATGCGGCGCACATGTTCGCGTTGGTTTTGCAAATCATGTCGTTCCATTAGTAGTTTTGTTCTAGAGACACATTTTTAAAATCGAAATTCTGTTTATCGAAAAAAATATTCTTAGGGTTAAACTTAAATTGCACCTGAATCGAATATTGTGTGAGTTGCACAAAATATTCAATTACAACTCGGTCACATTATCTCTGCACCTCGCTCGATGACGTCACATTCACGGTACGGTGTGCAAAATAAGCATCTCTAGAAATATGAATTTTTTTACCCGACTGCCGGATGTACATGTATGAGGTTTAGATTAAAGAATTTTGTGATTGAATATATATTTATTGTATGGATTTGGTTTCAGTGATGGAAACTTAATAAAACAGTATTGAATTCGAAAAATATAATTTTTATTAAAATAATTTTCTTACATTATTACTAAATTATTTATTATTTAGTTACATTTATTTAGTGACAGTGATCATGATGATAATAAAAATTATTAATTACCAATTGTTTATAGTGATAATGACTAGTATTGTCACTATAAACAATTGGTTTAACAAATTGTCTATAGTGACAATGATTAGTATATTACTAATTGGTTCTATGCTTGATATTGTATTTTCATTATCATCATCATCATCACTGTCACTTATGTCGCTTTCTGAGGAACTTTCTTCTCGTCCTAGGTGTATCACAAATTGTTGAATTGTGTCGTCTTTAACCCGGCGCCAATGACATAAAAACGTAACGGACTATGACACTGGGTCATCATGACCCGGATTTTTTCGAAAATTTTTCACGAAATTCAAGTAAAATTGTCTGAACTTTAAGAAATGTTTATAAAATAAGGGTTATTTGCATATGAAGTAAAATAAAAATAATACTAATATGTTCTATAAATTAAACTTAATAGCTTTCCCAATAACACATGCAAAATTAACTTTGTAAACATAACATTAATAATTTTTTTTTAATTTTTGTAAAGTTTTCGAATTAATAATAGTAATCGATAATCTTATGTTCTAAAAAAGCGACCATACAAACTTCTTATCATAAAAATAAGAAGGCATCAGTCTTTTAATTCCTCATTCACACACATGGAACTACTACAATTATTACAATACGGAATCAAATGACGTGGCATATGTATGACAAGTATGAGATGTTTTCTTATCCTTTTTAGACGGATATACTTGACATCTCTTACGACTTCCTAGAACCTTGTTGGGAGGTTCTCGGTAGGTTCTCCCATGAAATCTGAGATTATTTTACGCAATTGTCGCGGTACATTCATTCGGTGTCTTTCGGATTTGTAAATGCTCGTGCAGTGGCGAATCTAGGGCTCCAAACTAGGGCAAGCCCAAGATATGATTTTGGTGTTTTTAGCAGTTTTATAAAAAAAATACCTTATCTCTTTTTCGATTTTACCTTTTCCTCGCCGATTAGCACTTTAACACACTTCAATTCATCACAAGAAAAACTATTATCCTCCATTTTCACTAAAAATCTATAAAAAAGTATGAATTTCCAACTCAATATTGCGAATTTCATTCGCTCAAGTAAACACACAGAGTAAACATTGGAATGTGAAGTTGTGAAGTAAACTTTGCAAACGCACGCCCCCACGCTCGACAACTTCACACTGAAAGCCTGGCTTCCGATCTCCATACTGATTGCTATATAAACAATCGTAGTTATATTTCATTATAAAACATTTTGCCACATGTTAGAAAGGGAGCGATCGTCTTCTCGAAAGCCCGGTAAAAAGCCCATGCGTGCGAGAGAGACGCCTAATCGCTCAACTCAACTCCTTTTTTATGACAGCAGTGTCGCACAATCTGCCAAGTGTTGACGTTACATAATAAGGCTACGAGGTCACGACCTGTGTAGAAAAAAGGAGTGCTTTAAAACAGTTTACGAGTTATTTTATTTGTTGATATTATTATTTATAGGGCAAGTCGAACTTGGCATGTATGGGAGCTTCGCTACCGTGCTCGTATACCAAAGCGAGTCCCAGATTTTTTAGGAAATTGCGCCTTTACTCGTATATTAGCATTTATATCCGATATATTCAGCATTGCGTAGAAAGTCGTCAACGGCCATCGTTTTGAGTTTCTGCTCACTTTGTAAGTAGCACGAAATTCGTCAGCTACATCCATTCCGCTCTTGTAGTCATTATGATAAGTTATTATTTCAAGTTTCCGGTTACCGCCAGTAGAATCGCTATAATCATGGTGCAAGCTCGACATCAAGTGGACAACTTTATTTTTCTTCGGAATTTAAGCGACTAGAGTTATATGTTTTTGATATCCAAAAGTTGAACAGTTTAGCTTTTTTCCACGTGCTGTGATAAATTGAATTGGAATGTGCTTCTTGTTTTTGCGTAAGGTACCTACTGAAGTCAGTTTGTGTTCGTTTAGGAGATAAGACACTAATTCGTAGCTTGTGAACCATTATCAAAAATAACATTCCGTTGAGTATCGGAGATTGGCAACACAAGGCGATTTACTACATGAAACGGTTTGTTACTAATCGAGTATGGGCCATTCGGTTGCTTATCAGCGTATATCCCAATTTTTCACGTAAAATGTTTTTGATGTTTTTGAATCTACTAAGGCAAATATTTTAATTCCGTATTTTGCTAGTTTATACGGTATAATACAGTCGACTCTCGATAATTTGAAACTCAAGGGACTAGGAAAAAAAATTCAAATTACCAAGAGTTCAAAATAACAGATGTTTAGATAACCAACAGGGAGGAAGGAAAAAACCAAGTAAACAAGAGTTTGATTAAAATTCGTGATTTATTATTATAAACATTTGTACAATTATTCACAAATGTTCATTTTGAAAAGAAGTCTGTAATTTTCTGTTGAGTCTACTGTAAAGCTCCCTAAAAGTCGGGAATAAAAAAGTTAAATTGGATGCGATAGAATCCGTAAAAATTAGTTTAATTTAATATCAAGTTCTTGTCTTTCAGCACGTGTAGACTTGTCATCGAAGCGTAGGCTGGTTTGTATAAAATAAAAATTTCCATTCCTGTACCATCTGCTTTCCACAAGTCATTCAGATTTTTGTCTGTTTGAACTGTAAAATCCAGCGAGGTACAAAAGTCCTATGAACGTTTTCAATTCCGTTATTTCGACTTCACCCACAATTCACATTTACACACAATGCTCTTCTTTCTCGAATGTGTGAATTGGTATATGTCTGGATCTTACACAACATATCATGGGTAACAAATAAGTTCCAACATTCTGAAACAGACTTGGCACTTTTAGCTACAGGTTTTACACCAGGTGTTTCAGTTATTATATTTTCTGATCTTGTACGCACATTCGGCCGCGCAGGTGCTTTTTGTCACATCGCTCTATTTCTTCCTTTAAAAAACTGAAATGAAAAAAGATATTCTCTGATGAATCCGATTCCGTATTCTTGGCACTAGCAAAAGTAAAAAAATATTATTATTATTAAAAAAAAATTATTATTATTATTCACTCTTATTAATATGTTCAGATAAGTGGTTTTCAATGTTGACGTCCGAAGCGACGTTAAGAGTCTTTCATCGGACCCCGACTCTTCTAGCACTGATAAAATTGTGTCTCTAGGTTATTTCATAATGACATTTTTGACAAAAAAACTGCAAAAGAAAAAGTAAATTAAAATTAAACACTAAATAAACGAATAAAACTAAGTAACAAAAATACTACGCCAGCGATGACGCTGGTTCATATTTATCCGTTTTGACTTGACGCACGTATATCAGTCCGCGTCGCACAGAGTATACCAACGGTCCGGGGAGAGGGGGGGCTGTATTTCCAACTGCACAAATGTTCAATCTATACGACCGACGCAAACAAAAAATATATGTCCGCTTAAAATCGCCTCGGGTCAATATGACCCAGCACGATTGGCGCCGGGTTAAGGAGATCTTTCTCCCAGTATTCCTGTTGAAGTCGCTTCACATGATTTACTTTTTTTTTCCAATCCACAGTCTTAGCCACAGTTATCGAAGTTAATGAATCTCTCGTGAGTTTTTCTATTTCTTTTTCAGATTTATTTATATTTTTGTCTACCAGCCTTTGTTTAACGAAGTTCAAAATGTATTCTATAGGATTAAGTTCGCAATGTTAGGGTGACAGTCGTACGATTTCTTGGACTTACTCTCTCATCCATTCGTCAACAACATATAGTTTCGGTGGCTTCTTCCTTTTCATAATTGCGTACATTTTGCTTTTTGTCATGTTCTCATCAAAGGGAATATTATTGTCCCGGAGCCAGTTTTGCATAACAGCCTTGAGGGACTTCACAACTTTAACAACTTTATTGACTGCATCGAGTGGTATGGGGCGTTGTCAATGACGACTATAACATTTGACGGTAAATTTGGAAGTTTTTCCTTAAGTAATTTCAAAAAATTGGTAGAATTCTCTCGTGATTGTGATCGCCGGTTGTATTTTTGCATTTATATAATAATTCTGCACCAGGTATAAACCCGTTCTCTCCCCCGGCATACACAAGAATCCATCTCTGCTATTCGTTAAGATTTTTCGTCACGCTGCCATCTCTACTGTTTTGCCAACGTTTGTTGACAGTGTAGGGGAACGAATCCACGTTTCATCCAGGTAGGTAACCGGTTTTTTATCTACGCCAAGGTTTTTCTTTCTTTCATTCGGCGCAGGTAGCGAGTCCTTCATGCGGCGATATCTGGCTTTTGCATTAGAACAGTACGGGCATTTTTGCACTTTTTGAATTTATATCCTATCGCCTTGAAAATTCAGATCTCTCTTAGCGGCAGCTACGATTTTCTTCACGGTTGGGATTTTTTTTGCACAGTATAAAAACTATTGATAATATTGCATATTGCAAACTCAAAGTTATCCACTTCAATTTTTTTCTGTAGTGCTTACGCTGTTTTCACGGTGTTGACAATTTTAGATTATTACTAATACTTGGATTGTTGCTAGTACTTGGACTAGTCGGCGAAACAAGTGGGGCTACACGTAACGCAAAAATGTTTATTTGCCTTCTCCATTTCGAAATCTTGAGAACTTTTAAGATTAAATTTTTTCCTTCACTATGTATAACGTTTCCCATGTTAAATTTAACTTCGAAAGTCCGAAAAACAAAAATAGTCCAAACTTAACAATAAATATTCAAACTTAACAATAAATGTTCAAACTTAACAAAAAATGCACAAAACCAAAACAAAAATAATATGAAAGTAACTAAATTATCGAGACGCGTATCGGCAACAAAGATGCTAACCATGCTGACGCCATCGCGGCGAGCGCAGCGTGGTGAAGGCGGAAGCAAGATAGCATTCCAGCGAGGTGCAGAGATATTGTGACCGCGTTATACTTATACTTATAAAATCTTTGTTATCTCATT